CGGATGCTCAGTCCTGACCTGGGTCCAGGAGAAAGGAGGCTAGACATGTCTGAGGACCAGCACTAATGACTGGCACAATGAGAATCCTCCAAAATGGAGCAGCCCCGAGGAGAGCCAGCTCCTCCCTCTGCAGGGTGCTGTACTGACTGGACTCTTCATTTGCAAGAGACAGAAAGAAACTCCCAGAAACCAGCTCAGGCCAAAGAAGTCAGTTCTGTAGCCATCAACTCAGTGGCTGGAAATGGCCCGGACAGTTGGCAGAGTCGCAGGACTCAGAGACTTCCGGAACTGGAGCCAGGGTGCAGCCCCGTGCTGGTCCTCCTCCGCCTTCCATCTCTGAGCTCTGCTTCTTCTTTCCCGGCCTTGCCCACTCCTCCTGCAGACAGGCCTGTAGCCACCACAGCGCAGTCTCCTCAATGAAACCAGCAGGTGACCGTCCTCCTGTGCTCGTGTTAGCCCCAGGGAAGACTCTGGCCTGCCCATCTGGTTCATATGCTCACCACCCCCACAGCAGGAGGCCAGAAATGGTCCAAGATGAGGTTGAGGAGCAGGTCTGTAACCAGAAGGAACAAAGGAAGAGGGAAAGGGGGGGCACGCAGCCCCGAGGGGCACGCCAGCAGTCACGATCAGCTCAGTCGCAGGTAACAAAGGGAGCTCCGAGCTGTAGCACCCTAGGCTGTGGTCTTTCTTCCGAGCCCAGCTGGGACCTTCTTGGAGAGCTTCTGCTGTTCACGCAGGGGAACTGTTTGGTTCAGAGCTCCTGCTGTATGCGCTGTCCTCTGAAAGCTTGAATCCATGTTGGGGCTTATGGGGGGGCTCGCTTCTAAAACACGGGGCTCTTTTCTTTTTTTATTAATTTTTTAATTTACATATGACAGCGGAATGCATTACAATTCTTATTACACATATAGAGCACAATTTTTCATATCTCCAGTTGTATACATAGTATATTCACACCGATTCAAGTCTTCATACATGTACTTTGGATAATAATGTCCATCTCATTCCACCATCATTTCTAACTCCATGCCCCCTCCCTCCCCCTCCCACCCCTCTGCCCTATCTAGAGTTCAACTATTCCTCCCATGCTTCCCCTCCCTAACCTACTATGAATCAGCCTCCTTGTATCAGAGAAAGCATTCAGCATTTGTTTTGTTGGGATTGGCTAACTTCACTTAGCATTATCTTCTCTAACTACATCTATTTACCTGCAAATGCCATGATTTTATTCTCTTTTATTGCTGAGTAAAATTCCATACTGTATATATAGCACATTTTTTAAAATCATGGGGCTCTCTTCTTAATCCCTGCCCTAAGCAAAGCCCAGCCTTGGTGTTTGCCTTCTCTCCTTCACTCCTGCACGGGCTGGGCCAGCTTTCCAGGTGGGTTTGCCAAGAGCCAAAGCGAAAGCTCAAAAACATGTCCCACAAACATGGGGGAAGCACAGCTTCTACGAAGGATGCTAGGTCAACAGGAATCCCAGAGGCAGCGCCTGGCTGAGTGCTCACCCTCTCCCCACCCAACACTCCCGGCTGTCACTGCCGGGTCAGCTGCCATGGGCTCTTGGCTTCTGACCCCAACTGCTTGCAGAAATGGGGAGGCACCGAGGGGCCTCTGCCCCCCAGGTGGCCTCCAGCCCAGCTCTGGCATCAGACCCAGGCTGTATGATCTAGTGCACTGTTTTCTGCAGAAATTAGGCTGCTAGCGGCTCAGGTTGGGTGACAAGAGAACTGGCATTGGCTACAGCCATTTCAACCTCAGATGCCTCAGAAGGCCACAGGGTAGGAACACCAGGGGCACACAGGAAACGGGCCTCTCTGTGTTTCAGCCAAGGTGCATGGGCCAGAGCAAACAGCCAGTTCCTGTTTCTTACTGCCCCTGGGGCTGAGAACAAAGAGTGTCTCCCTGGCCTCGGCAGCGCTTAGAAACAGGCTGCTCTGAACAGCCAGAGGGAAAAGGCCAACCGCTCTTGCTCCGGAAATCCTGAAAAAGAGTCCCAGGTCCTGAAAACGCAAGGTCACAGACAGAAAACACAAGGACACTGTCTCAGTCTGTTTTCTGCTGCCATAACAGAATACCTGAGGCTGGGGAATTTATAAACAATAGGAGTGTACTTAGTGCATGGTTCTGGAGGCTGAGAAGTCTACCAGCCTTGGTGCTGGCATCTAATAAGGGTCATCATGGTGGAAAGTTGAAGGGCAAGCACACACAAGTCAGAGGGGACGAGAGGTTGTGCACTTACACTCCCAACATAACCACCCAGTTCCTCAATAATTCATTCACGAGAACTGAGCCCTTACGACCTAACCCCCTCTCCAAGTTCCGCCTCTGAATACTGTTACAATGGCAATTAGTGTCTTAGAGGGAACCTTCGAACCACATCAGAAGTTAAGCTGTGACAACTGAAATTCAGTATCTGCCAAAATGGTGTTCTCTTCCTGTGCAAGTCTCAACTGAAGAAAGCCTGCAAAGGGAGGGAATTGTGGATGCTTAGAGAGGTGTTGGCCATGGACGTGGGTCCTGTTCATAATGTACTGCTTTAGAGTGAGATGAGGGCAGTGGACATTGTGGTGACCTCTGGAAGGCAGCCTTAGCAGGAGTGAGCTCCACATCCAAGGAGGTATACAAGCAGATTCTGGATAAGCACTTAACAGGAAGGCTATAAAGAAAGCATAAGCATCAGACAGGTTGGTTTAGATGATTTCTAAAGTTCTACTTCATAAGTTTATTTTCTGTTACTATAACAAAATACCTGAGGCTGGGCATATAAAGAAAAGAGATTTACTTAACTGACAATTTTGGAGACTGAAAGTACAAGACCAGTAGTTTTATTGGCTCAACTTCTGGGGAGGGCCCTTGGGCCATGTCACAATGTGAAAGATGTCATCACAATGGCAGGAGCACTTTTGAGATAGAGATCACCTGGCAAGAAAGCCAGCCAGAGACTGTGACTCCTTGGGCCCCAACTTGTCACCATGTCCCAGTTGGAACCTGGGGGCCTCTCACCCGTTCTACCTACAGATGCCAGGAACTGGAGGCCCCCTGCAGCACTGAGCTCAGGAGCCCCAGCCACACCCATGCCACGTCCTGGTGGGAAACAGGTCCGTCTCCCAGCCACTCACCTGTCTCTGCCTCGCTGTCCTGGACGTAAGGGTGCGGGACTTGTTTTCCCTCCCTGGCCTGAACTCGACGCTCTGATGAAAGGTCCCTGGAGCCTCTCAAAGCAGACCTAGAGTCCTGGGCTGGGGCCAGGGCGTGACCAGGGAGGCACAGGACCAGGGCCCAGTGCAGAGAGGAGCCAGGTGCAGACTCCGCGCGGAGGCAAGAGGCCTGGCGGGGCGGCCTCCTGGGGCTCGGTGGCCTCCTGGCACTCCTTGCCTCCCGACACGGGCTCCTAACGGAGTCTGGAGCACACGCTGCTGCTCACAGAGCAGGAAGGCACAGCTCGCCATCCCTGCGCAGGGCCTTGAACACTGGAAACTGGAAAACATGGGGGTGATGGAGGACCAGGGTCACGGCCAGCAGGGCCAGCTGCTGACCACGGGTCGGGAGGCTTTCTCCAGGCGGGAGAGGCGGGGCCCGGGTGCCTTCCCTGTCTGACCCCTGGCTCCCGCTCCCTGGGCTCTTGTCTTCAGTTGTGTTCCTCTGGGACCCTGCAGCCCCCTGGTCCCCCTTGTGCCCTGCCTCTGGAGGGGGCGTGGGGCCAGGCCTGCCCAGACCTGGGTCCAGGGCCCGCTGCTCGCCCCATCCACTGTTCAGGTTTGTGCACGGCTCACGGCATTTGCACTGGCAGCGGCTCTGGGGGCTGCGGGAGCACGGGCACCGCTCAGGTGACCCGGCCATCAGCCTTCCCCTCCTGGCTGCCCCCGTCCCTTGCCTGCTCCTGGTGTTGGCAGCCCAAGGACCCAACTCATCTCTGACTGCAAGACTCCTGCTTCTCAGGATTCCATCCTGGGGGCAGCAGGACAGGAGGAGGACAGGGCAGGGCTCCTCACCTGGGCGCTTGGCCTCCAGCTCTGTGACCCCAGTCGGGCTGCTGGAGCTCTCTGAGCCCCGGTTTCCTCCTGGAGAGAGGGACTACTTTCTGTGGCCTGTGCCTGGCAGGGACCTCACAGGACTGAGTGGAGACAGCCGTGTGAGCTCAGACCTTGTGGAAACTCACAGCACGCAGGCGTGGGCTCTGCTCAGGTCACACGGCACCTCCCTGGCTCCACAGTTGTCCCCAGAGCTCCCACCCCACTGCGCACAGGAAATGAGGGAGACTTAAGAACCTGGCCTCGGCCACAGCCCGAGGGCACGGCCCTGCTTTGCCTGGGCATCTAGGTGGGAGCTCACTCCTTGAGCCAGGCTGCTTCCACCCTGACAGACATGCTCAAGTGGACAGCCCGCCCTTCCTGCATCCTCGTGGGTCCATGCGGGGGGCTCAGGGATGCTCACACAGCCAAGACCACCTGTGCAGTGTCAGCCTAGCCTCCAGGCTACAAGAGGGCACAGCTGCTCAGGAGGCAGGTGACAACCCACCCAAGGGTCAGCTGCCTGGGGTGGGGGCGGGTGACCCAATACAATGACACTCAGGCCGCTGGACCCCAGGCAGGTATCACTGTCCCACCCCGGCAACCAGAGGGGCCCCAGGTCTGCTGCAGGACATCAGCCAGCTTCATAGAGTCAGCCCTCCTGGCCTCTGCCCCTCACGGCGGCTCTTTGTCAGTGTCACAAAAGTTCCCAAGGAGGGACACCGCCGGTGGAAACCGTGCCAGAGGCAGGGCCCGCTTCCCTCCAGATGCGCCCCCAGGTGCCGGCAGCCATCCTCACCTCATGGGATCCTAATGAAAGGACTGAGTGTCCCGGCCCAGGTGGGCGTGCCAAACCCCCTCTCCCACCCACTGGGCAGCTGGCTCTGGCGGGGCCCACAGGAAATGGAGGCGTGGAGCCCTGGCCCTGGGCCACCCCCAGCTGCTGCTTAAAAGGGAGGCGGGCCAGGCTGCAGGGAGCCCAGCACCATGATACCCTGGACGTCCCTGCTCCTGCTGCTGCTGCTGGCCGGGCTCCCTGCTGCATGGCCCGCTCCCCCGACCTGCTACTCCAGGATGCTGACCCTGAGCAGGGAGATCACCAGTGAGTTCCAGGGGCTGCAGGCCGCAGAGCCAGGGGTGAGTGCCCCCCACACCCACCCCCGCCCCGGAGCCAGGCCAGGAGGCTCCGTGAAGATGCACCTCCCAAACACATGGCTTTGGATGAAAAAGAAAGGGTGGGGAGAAGGAAAGAAGGGAAGAGAGAGAGAGAAAAAGAAAAATAGAGAAGACTGACTGCCATTCTTGTCTAGTAAAAGATAATCTCAAGGGCTTTTGTATATTTCCCTCCTACTAAATATGCCAATTATTTGCCTTTTCAAAGATATAAGGAAAAGTAACCAAAGACAGCACAAGTTTTGTCTGAACTTATTAGCAAATATCAGAGACGCTGTAGTAAAATGTACCAAAAGAAAAGACCAGCTCCCCACAGAGTCTAGGACTTCAGAGTCACCTCACAGCCCAGTGACCCCTGTGTGCTGAGGGATGGTGACCCCTTACCTGCTGGGGACCCTGGGCAGATCACTCAGTCTGCTATCTCAGTTTCCTGCCTGTAAAATAGATGACAACAGCTTGCCCACCCCACCCGCCCCGGCACACAGAGGGTCAGAGGAGTGAGCAAGGGTGGCTAGCTGGGGTCAAGAGGACACCCAGGAATTCAGAGTCGGGTGTCCAGAAGGGTGGCTGAGTCGAGCATCTGACAGAGAAAAGCCATGAATTAAGCTTCATTAGGAGCTTCAGCACAATTGAACAGCGTCTCTTGACTGCTTGTAAATGCTTCAAAAAGAACCTGATGATTCTCAGATGTTGGGGTTTACAGGACTCTAACACCCTCTCTGTGTTTTCTTTTTTTAAAGCCAAATAACATGTATTTATGTCTCATTATAAAAGTAACATACTTTGTAGAACGGTCGGAAAACGCACACAAAGAGGAAAATAGGCATGGCTGTGACTCTGTCACCCAGAGGCGACTGCTCCCATTACATTCCAAAGGCTGGCATTTCTGCCTCCTGTCTGTGCCAAGGTACCCAAGCGCCAGGCTGCAACAAAATTGGGATCAAATGGCACAAGCTGTTTTGCAACTTGCTTATTAACGACATTGTGGAGTAAGTTAATACCCTTTGGTACAAAAGAACTTGGCTGGGTAGGTGCACCACGATCCCTTGCCTTGGAAGAGACAGAGCAATCGTCTTTTAAAAGAATCCGATTTTTAAAGGTAAAAAAAAAAAAAAGAAAAAAAAAACCCATAGGCTCAGAATGTTAGAACTAGAAAGAAGTGGAAAGATTATACATTCCAGCTCTTTCATTTCCCAACCGAGAAACTAGGTCACAGAGGAAGATACGAGCCCGAGGTCACGCAGGCGGGCAGGAATTGAGGGCTTCATCCCTGAACCGACCAGGAGTAAGATGTAGCAATAGGAAAGTACCACGGGGGTGCTGCAGAGGGTTACACAGGACCCATTTTACTCTATGTAACTAATTTATAATAATACATATTTATGGATATGTTTGTATATGTTATACTTGTTATATATTACATGTATCTATTTGTAGGTGTAGAACTATCATATAACTAAACAGCTATAAAATTGTTTTATTATGTATATATATACCTGGTGGTTATCAAATATTACTATGTGTTTACGTGTGCATCAAATGGTGCCTCGATTCAGAGTAAATATGATAATTCTGTGTTCTAAAAGGCAAAATCTGGGAGACCAGTTGTCCACTTTGGGGTGCATGGACATGTAAGACTAGCAAGTTTTTCAGGTGTCATAGCACCAAGAAATACCCCAGGATCTGGGCTGGGCTGGCCAGAGCCTCTGTGGCCAGGCTGAGCCTGTGTCCTTTCTGCAGGAGCCCTGTGTGAGGTACCTGCCTGGGCTGCACCTGGATATCCACGTAAGTGGGCTCTGCCTGGTGGGGGCAATCTGCATCCTCTGCTGCTGACCATCCAGCGTGGGGTGGGAGAGGCCCCATGGGGCGGGAGAGGTATAGGAGGACACAGGCGCTCATTAGCTCCTGTCCCCCTGGCTGCCGACTTCTCCCGTGAACCCTCTCCTACTGCCCACTCCCAGAATTACTGTGTGCTGGCCAAGCTGCGGGACTTCGTGGCCTCACCCCACTGTTGGAAAATGGCCCAGGTGGATGCCCTAAAGGACAAAGTGCGGAAGCTGTACACCATCATGAACTCGTTCTGCAGGAGGGTAGGTGACGCCATTGACCACCCCTGTTCGCCTGCTGGGAGGAGGGGGCTTGAGGAGGAGCAGGGGGCTTAGGAGGAGCTCGCATCCACAAAGCCCTTCTGCAGCACCATCTCCCTCGCTGAGTGACGGGGATTCATGAGACAGCTACAAGGGGCGCCACTCCCGGCCCCTGAGACAGATGGCCCCGAGCCAAGCAGGGCCTGTGGGCGGAGCTTTCTGGAGGAGCAGGGGCCCCAGGAGTGCTCTGTGAGGGGGGGAGCTCTGGTAGGAGGGGGGAGGGGAGAGCCACGGGATCCCAGGGCGCAGGCTGCAGCCCCAGGTGGCCCTGAACTGTGGCTTCATCTTCCCCTACCCAATGCAAACACGTCAACTGGGGACACACTAGTCCTCACCTCAGGACATCACTGGAAGGGTAAGAATCACACCCTCCCATGCACCAGAAGCATCCTGACCCCCTTGATCCCAAGACACCCAACAGAGCAGCCACACCTGGTCTCTCCAGCCCCTGCCTGGCCAGAGTGAGCCTCGGGGAAACCACTGGCTATTAGTTGACATTTCTTTGTGTAGCAAAGATGTGTTACCCATTTCCCCATGTCCAGTCCCTCCCGGTCCCCCTCTCCCCCTGGTCTGTGGGGGACAAGATGGCAGAAGCAGGTGCAGTGACTGTCCAGCAGGTGAGCTGAGAGCCACCCTGTCCCACACACGACCCCAGTGCTGGGCCCCAGGTGTTGCCAAGAAGCAGGGTGAGCTCGTCCCTTGCTCGGTCACCCGTCCAACCCACGTGACATGAGAGTAGGACAGGAGATCCTGTAGGGATGTGGAGAAAGCAGGGACCGGCTCTCCTGGGAGGAGGGAGTGGAGGTTTTCCTCCGGGAACACTTGTGTGACCTTCGAGGACAGGATGACCCAGAGTCCTGGAGCTGCGCCTGGCTCCAGGGCCCCCTCATTGCCCGTCTTCGGCAGGACCTGGTTTTCCTCTCTGATGACTGCAGCGCCTTGGAGCACCCAATCCCGGTGACCACGGGCCCTCCCGAGGGCCAGAGCTAAGGCGGCCAGATGAGAGAAAGAACCCAGAGGCCTGAGGCTGTGCATCTGCCCAGATGGAGGGCGGAAGCCACAGCCCCACAGGCCTCCTGCGGCGGGCCTCAGCCCCCTGTGGAAGGCGGCACTGCTGCTGGGGGGGGGGGGGGAGGCCTACTCTGCAGTGCCTTGGTGGTCAGATGCACCAGGAAGAGGGCTCACAGCCTCTCCTGCAGGGCCAGAAACTTGAGCCCACACAGAACGATGGTCCTGACCATGGCAAGAGCGGGGTACACATGCACCCGCCTCTTCCTTGTTGGGAACCTGCTGACCCCTGACCAAGCTTCTGTTTTATGCCTTCCCTCATCACAAGCTCCTGGTCCCTTCTTTCATTTTTAAAGAAATGTTACTGCTTTTAAGATGTATTTGTGAGGTTTTTACGTAGCACTGCAAAAACACTCTTCTCCTGAAAGCTGATGAAAATCAAATAAAAACATCTTCACCGCAAAACCCGTGTTCTCCGCGACTTGCTGAAATCTCCTGCTCTCCACAGGAGAGCGTCTCCCTCCCCCTTTCCATCAGGAGCAGGAGTCCGGGTCAGCTGCACTGGACTGCATGAATGTCCACTCCCACAGCGTTGGGAGATGTGCCAATTTATGCTGGAGGTGGGAGGTCCCTTGGGGTGCAGACGGTGGGGACAGATTACATTGCCCCCACAGACAGCTTGGGGCCTGTGGGGGCAATGTAATCTGTCCTTCTTTCAGTTCTTTGGCTTCAATGACAAACGTGGAGACGGGCATCTCACGGGGCTGAAGCTCAGGTTGGTGAAGCGGCCTGAGCTGCCCAAGGTCAGGGCTAGTGAGTGGGGAGCAAAGCCCCACTCTTCCAGCAGCCCCAGAGGACTGTGCTTGTTTAATAATTTATAAACCAACAATAAAATCTCAGCTAAGTAGCTGGATTGTAGAAAAATATTTCCAATGTTGATTTTGTGAAATTCCACATTATATTGGGTCTTCTCATTTCTTTGACTCCCTGCTGTGTACGAACAGGCGGCTCTTCCTCCTTGATCTTAGATGCCTCAGTCTTCTCAGAGGATTCATGAGAAGGAGCCACTTGGCTTTTATTTTCTATTTGGAAGCACAGGCCCACAGGACCGCTATCCTAGCCTCCTAGGGCTGCCACGGCATGGCACCAGGAACTGGGTGGCTTGAAATAAGAGGAAAGTGTCATGTCGTGGTTCTGGAGGCTGAAAGTTCTGGATTGAGGTGCCAGCAGGCCAGGAGTTCTCTGGAAGCTGCAGGCCAGGGTCCCACCTTGCATCTTCTAGCCTCTGGTGGCAATCCTTGGCATTCCTTGCCGCAGTCTGGCTGGGCACAAAATAACCGAGCCACCACACAGCCTTGTAGGTTCAAAACAGGAACTCCTTTATTCTCCGCACTCCCGCGAACGCCATGCATGCGGCCTTCTCCCGGGACACACCACACACCAACCGGAAATCCCTCCTCCGGAAATCCCTCCTCCGGCACTTCCCCAACTCCCCAGGAATCCCCGCCCCCCAGAACTCCAAAGTAGCAGGTGAGGCGGACAGCAGGGGTCTAATATGCAATTGAACACACAGCTTAACATAACCATCATCATCTCAATGGCTCCCTGGCGTCACCTCTCAACCACTCCGTTCTGGCAAAAATGCCATGCGTCATCCCGACTTGGCTGTGGCCCTCAACAATTCCTGGTGGCTGGTGGCAATCCTTGGCATTCTTAGATGTCAGATGCATCACATCAACCTCCCTGTATATGTATGTCTGTGTCCATCTTCTTATAGGGATGCTGATTATGGGGTCAGGACCCACCTCATCCAGTATGACATTTTGTGTGTGTGCATGTGCTGGGGATTAAAGCTGAGTCCTTGTGCACATGAGGCAGGTGCTTGTCCACTGAGCTACACCCCAGCCCTAGACCTTGTCTTCATCTGATAACATCTGCATAGTACCCATGTCCAATTAAGGTCACAATCACAAGTACAAGGGGTTAGAGCTTCAACATATATTTCTGGGACACCCAATTCAACCCACAAAATAGAAGAATTGGCCCTTTCACATAGGAAAGTACTGCAGTGGTGCGGGTCTTGTCCATGAGCCCCTCAACCATGGGGCACTGCCTGGCCCAGGAGTGGCTCCCGCCAGCCCACTGCCTCTTCACCACGACGCTGCAGGATGGGCGTCCTCAGCCCCCATTGATAGTGGAGGAAACATCCTCAAGTTCAAAGGTGGAGTGATTTCCCAGACAGCTAAGGGGCAGTGGCAGAGGGATTCCAGACGGGTGGACAAGGGCCAGAGTCTCCCCCTCACTGCCGTTCTAAGGAGTGGAGGACGCCATTGGAGACAGGCCCCGTGGGAGCATTTCAGACACCTCTTTGCTCATTTCTTCCATCTTTACTAAGAGCGCATTACAAATTCAGCAAATTTTGAGATGAAAGGTGAAGAGTTCCTCTCGTAGTTCCCCAAGGAGACCTTTGCAGAATCTGGGAGATGCCAGTGGAAGGAGCAAATAACTCTGAGATGGGGCAGGAAGTTTTCTTAGAGGATTTGGAATTTGAACAAGGACTTGCAGAAGGACCGGGGACTTGCTGGGCTGGAAGTGGTGGAGGCAGAAGACACGTCAAAGCCAAATGCCGGGCGGCATCCCACAGAGACGACTGCCTCCAACACAGGCGTGTGGCTGGGAGCCAGGTGAGGAGCGACGACGTGGAGGGGTCAGAAGGCCAACAACATGACTATGGGAAAGCCTGCGCCAGGTGTGCCCAGGAGAACCCTTCTCTCACAGAGCAATCAGGATGACGGTCCCCCTGGAGGCTGTCAGTTCCTGAAGGGGCCCCTGTGCCAGGCCTGGTGTCTGAGCAGGGCCCTGGTCTCTTCTTTTGTCTTTCTGCATTGCCAACTGGTCAACCCTGACTTCTCTAGGTCTCTTGACTTCTCCGTTTGCACTTTAACAGTTGGTCAGAACCTTCTCAGAACTCACATGTCACCCGGCTGTGCTCAGGATTCAACCATCCTGAGTGAGGGTCTGCCTATCTAGGGTCCTTCTGCCCAGGGGCTCCCCATTGGAAGGGGATTGTTTTCTTCCGGGGGCTTCTTAGCAGCTGGAGCCTAGCTCGTTTCTCCAGCACCTTTAATGCACCTGGGGAAGCCAGCAGAGGCTCAGGGGCCCTGAGGGACGCCGTTCTGAGGAAAGACCTCAGCCCAGCCCTGCTGCTGTTATTTGTTTAGGTGGACGGTTCACTTAGACGCCCTGTGCCTCAGTCACCTCTTCTGTAACATGGGGGTGGCGAGAAGACAGGTTTGTGGGTTTATTTGGGGAATGACATGAGTTGGTACAATCCAGATACTAGGAGTGCGGTGCCCAGATGGAGTCCCCACCAGCTGCAGTTAGCATCAGCACAGACATTGCTCTAGAGTCAAGTCCAGGCCACTATTGTCCATCAGGCACCTGCAGGCTCAAAGCCCAGGCGCCCCACCTTTTCTAAGCAAGATCACAGGTCAAGGTGAGCCCTTCTCCTGGCCCGAAGCCTTGGAGCCTGAGACCTTCACTGGAAGAATGATTCTCTTTCCTGGACGGTGTTTCTCCTGGATGCACTCCACTCCTGTGTGGTGACCACCAACAAGGACAGACTCACTCCAGCGGGCCACTTCCTCCCCTGCCATGTGCTTTCCTCACCCAGCACCTGTGGTGAGGGGCTCATCTCACCGAGGCCTGTGGTGAGGGGCTCATCTCACAAAGGGAGCTCATGGTGGAACAAAGTTGCTCACCTCGTGGCCAGAAAGAAAAGAGAGACGGGTGGGGAGGGAGAAGGAGACTGTGGCCCACAATCTCTTTCTAGATCATGCCCCAGTAACTTAAAACCTCTCACTAGCCCCCCTTTTTACAGGTTCCACCACCTTCCAAATGGAGGGCCAAGCCTTTCGCACAGGGCTTGGGGGTCATGAGAGCTACCGCAACACCCAAGCCTCCCTGAGCCACGGCACCCACAGCCCCTGGCTTTACCCTCCTTCTGGTGGCTTTGTCTCCTCCTTTGCCGGTCCCCCCTCCCTCACCCCATGTCTAAATGCCAGTGCGCCTGTGCTCTGTCCTGGGCCAGTGCCCCCTCCTCTGTGCCCACCTCTGGGGGTCCTTGTCTGCTTCTGCTGCCCTCACATGTGGTCATAAGTCTCTGCCCCCTGCTTAGACGTTCCACCAGGTGGACACTCGTGTTCCAACCACCCAGCGTGGGCTCTGGGAGGACTCACAGATATGCACACATCACCTGTCTGTCGACGGTTGGTTCTTCTTGCTTGATGGTCTTCCCTGTCCTGGTGAAGTGGCCCTCCGTACCCCCTGGCTTCTCCCAGGCTTGTGCCCACTTCTCTTTCTCTACCCGCCCCACCTTCACCAGTAACCAGCAGGTCTAATTCTTTATGCTGTAAAACAGGCATGCGAGGTTGACTTTATGTCAACTTGACGGGCCTGTGTCCCCAGATATCTAATTAAACGTTATCTCTGGGTGGGGCGGTGGGGCGGGGGCTCTGGGTGAGAGCAGCACTTCAGTTGGTGAGGTGAATAAGGAGCCGGTCCTACCCCGTGTGTGTGGGCCCAGAACAATCCCCTGGGGACCTGAAGAGAACAAAAAGAAGGGAGAATGTATGCTTGAGCTGGGACACGTGGCCTCTCCTGCCTTTGGACTGGGACTTCCACAACCAGTTCTCCTCACTCTCAGGCTGTTGGCTTGGACGAGGGCTTCTGCCACCCTGGTCTTCAGGCCTTCAGACCCTTCTCGAGCTACGCCACCCACTCTCCTGGGATCCAGCTCACAGGTGGAGACTGTGGGCCTTCCCAGCCTTTGTGATTACACGAGCTGATTCCTTACAGTAAAGTGCACACACACACACACTCGCTCACACACACACTCACACTCACACACACACTCACACACTCACACTCACACACTCACACTCACACACTCACAACACACTCACACACAACACACTCACACACTCACACTCACACACTCACAACACACTCACACACTCACACACTCACACACTCACACACACACTCACACACAACACACTCACACACTCACACTCACACACTCACAACACACTCACACACACACTCACACACTCACACACTCACACACAACACACTCACACACACTCACTCACACACTCACACACTCACACACAATACACACACACACTTGGTTCTGTTCTCTAAAGAACCTTAACTCATACATTGAGCCTCTGCTTTTTCCTCCCTACCCACTGCTGGCACACGAGTCAAGGTCACCATGACCTTTGCCTGGACCAGTGCCATCGCCTCCTCACCAGGCTCCAAGTTCTCATGCCCCTCATCTAATTCCACACAGCACCCAGATGATCTGTTTAAGTGTTGGGCACCCATTAGACCACGCCCCTCCCTTGCTGACGGACATCCTATGGCTTCCCACTTGAACACAAATGGAGCTTCTCCCCTGG